TTAAAATTAAAGGCCAAGGTTAATTACAATATTTATTGGATATAAGTAATGATGTGGACAATAGAAGTGTTCACGAGACAATAACAAGACAACCATTATCCCATGTTTGTAACAGAAAAATGTCAAGACTAAATTTTCACCCCACTTCTCATTCTTTCTCATTTGAAATTGAGCCAAATTCAAAAATCTCATAAAAATAATCATGTTCAATTTTGAGGGCATGATAAAAACATTTTAAGCATGGTCAAAATTGTTCTATTGTGTAAATTCCCCCTCTTGAATTTGACCTTAAAAATTTTTAAGTTTATTCAAGTTGACCTATAACACTTGATCCAAGTTATCTTATCTTAAAAAGCATATCTCCTAGAGAAAATGAAATAACTGAATCCCTTTAATAATGGTGCAATTAAAACTAACTTAAAATAAAATAAAATGATTAGAATTGGCTGAGAGCATGAAACATTTGACAACATAATTTTTTTATTATTTCATATAAAAAAATCTCATGCATAGATAAAGGTGGAGTTTTTTTTTTACTGTGAAAAGTGAAGATTTAACCTTTATTATATGCTTTGAGCAATTTATAACTAATTTAAGAATAAGTCAATGCATTAAACTCGTATAAATATTTATTACATGGAACTATAGGCAATCCTCAAACATGTTCAAAAGTATCCACTTTAAATATATAGACTCTTCTTATCTTTTCAAGGACCAACAATAATATAACAATCACCCATGACCCAAAAAAAAAAAAGATCGCTTGAAGCAAGTGTCATTAACAAAGATAAATCAACCCAATGTTGATCTAGCATCTCATAAGCCAAGAAGCAAGCTGCACTTGCTAGAAACTTCAAGCTATTACAAGATCAAAACCCCTATGCAGACCTTGTATATAGATTTTGAATCCAAATCTTCCTATAAGCATCAATGGAACTAAAAACCTTTGAGTTTTTGTAATCATCAACTTGAACTACACCCTTAACCACATCATTGGGTAAGCCACAAACCACATTAAAGTTCAAGTTAAACTTCCAACAACAATTGAGGAGCTTCTACTTATCCCAAATGTATCAGAACCTCCCGCTAGCAACTGCTTTGTTGTTTCATATACAGCAAACATGATAGCATTCCCAAGTACTTCATGCGCCATCGTTGGAACTTTGCCCTTAAATAGACCTCTTACTCTCCCTTTAAACCTTAAAACTTGCCAGACCACATTAAGGGGTCCTTTATACTTGACAATCAGATCGTAGATGTTATAAAACCTACAATAACATTTTGTACTTGCAACCTAAAGAGAGAAACCGAATTATTGGTAGATAAAGATATCTAATTATCTATATTATTATATAATATAAAAACTATAGGAAGCCGTATCATTTATGAGATACAAGTAATGGAGTTTTGTACAAAATTCATGCAAAGCATGAACCAACAGTCTAGACAAAAATTACTACATTTGGTGGGTTCAATTTGAAGGTTATGTTCATTATCTAAGTTCAACACAAAAAACTACCTCATTTGAATCAACGATAATTTAACAAAAGACAATGTGCTTAAGATATGCATTTATGTGCAAGATCAATAAGGGAAAAATGATCCGGATTGAAGATTATGTATAAAAATCATTTTTCACCCACAGAAAATATAATGGCACTTGTATGATCTCAAGTTTTATGTGATATCATATCAGCATTGATAGTAAACCAAGCTTCCATGCTGCATGTATACCATTGTAGCACTTAGTACTTTATCGTAAAAAATTATATATTGAAACTGCAAGCCTATATACAGTTTTGCAATTATTTATAATCAATTAAATACCTTAATTCATACTGTCTATCCAGCACAATAGATTGCTTGAAGAACTTATATGTCATCCAGATGCTCATTCTCTACCTTCCTTGTCTAGAGATTTGAACAAAAGACTCCCAAAATTCTACATACGATCATAGTTGCTTTTGTCATGAAAAACACCGCAAATCATGTGCTAAAAAGATCTTACGTAAGCCAGGATTCTCTTAAAAGTGTCTCTAACTTCCAAGCCTAGGTGTTGAGGAACTTAATGACCATATACATTATATTAAAAAACATAATTGCAAAGACAAAATACAATTACTATATGTCAATCATTATTATTAGAATTGAAAAAGTTATGAATGACTTACAGTTTTGAAGTGCCCCAACTTAATTTATTATAGTCTTTAAAGAACAATTGTTTCTTTAATATGATTTAAATGATATAAAACTCAAGTATTTGAGTTTGGATAGCATCATAGCATCACCTTTATGCTAAAAAAGATAAAATGATATAAAGTTTATATATTAATAGAAACAAAATAATATTTATATAAAAAGAACTTCCATAAGCATTACATAGAGACCAATAACCTGACAAAAAAGACAAAGAAATTCCTTTCATATTAAAATTCATCAACCATTTTAAAACAATTAAACTTAATTGCAACACTTTCTTGAAAAAGGGATTCATCAATTGACCAAAAAACATTATGTTACTCTTCCAAATAACAAAATAATGAAACATAAAAAAAATTGATTGAGGAAGTTATTATCAGATTTGTGAGAGTGATCTCAATCAACTTATTGATGTCAAGGAGCAAGAATAGGAAACACCCGCCATCAAAGAATCAATAGGGGCTAAAACCATTGTAAAGCAATGTGAAGATGGAGAGAGAAACATTGATAGGATGGATGATGAAATCAAAGAGGGAGAAAAATATGTGAAGGTAGAGAGAGAAGATAGGGTAATGGTGGCCATATCATACTTTATCATTGCAATTAAATGCAATTTGATTTCATTTTGAAATTGGAAATTCAAATTTGAGAGAGACAATGAGGGAGAGATAGAGCTGAACTCATCTAATTGGCTAAAAAAATGAAAAGCATTTGGATGCAAAATTATCTTACCTAAAAAATTAGCACATTTTGCAATTTATTTATAAAATAAAATTAATATTATTTTTTTCAATAGATATATTCATTTTAATCATTAATTTTAAAATTTTTAAATCTGAATCCAATCTTATTGAAATCTATTTGAAAGATATTCATGTTATTTAAAATCAATGGACTTGATCTTTGCGTTTTAATTATTTTTTTGTTATTGCAAATTGAAAAAATCAATAAAATTTATTTTTCCGCATATTTTCATTATATTCAGACAAAAAATAATTAAATTTATTTAAATTTAAATTCAAACCCAATTTTATTAATATTTAATTTATTTAAAAAGTATTGATACAATGTAAAATCAATTAATGCATTGACTATTTTTGGGACCTTTCAAATTGAAGGAGGAATCAATGATGTGCAAGGGGCTTGATATTCTTAAAGTAATTATCAAATACTATGAAAAAAATAATGAGTTAATCCTCCATATGTGTGCTTTGGCATCTTGATTATATATATAGATTAGTCAATTGATTTTAATAAAAACAAAATAAATAAATTAACGAAGTAGAAGGAAACATTTGGATCTTGAAAACAATCATTAATTGTTCTAGATATCATTAAAAAGAGAAGAGGAAAAAGAATAATAAAATAAAAGTAATCATTTTGGGAATTGAGATCAATGTGACCTTTATCATATATATGACTACTTGACTGGAGATATCAATCCCTTTCCCGTTTTTCATTAGTCCATACCCCATGCATAGTGAGTAAAAGATCTAAAATCAAATAAAAATCTTGAGAAATAACTATGCAGATTTATCCAAATTTAAAAATCTTGATAAATCTCTTTATTAAAAAGAAGAAAGAGGCATGACCAAGGAAAGTTATGTTGAATGAATTCTCCTAAATTTCAGATTTCATTGTTGTGTGATCTTTTTATGAAAAAGGCTTTATGGCTAAGAAAGGAATTTTAGAGTTAATTCATTAAATGGTTGCAGATATGGTAATGGTCTTGTTATTATTGCATTAAAGGACATATATGATACTGATCTTGGAGATGGTGTTGCACTCTCTATATAGTATTGAGGAAGGAAAATTGAATGCAGCAAAGTTTGAAAAAAAAAAAAATGAAGGAAGAGGGTGGCGTTGAAAGATGGAGGAGGGAGTGTACTCCGAAATTTTTTTCTTCTATTATTTGAGAATTTTATATTTTAGTCCTTAATGTAAGAGTTCAATCTTCTTCAATTTCTATTGTCTCCTATATTTATTATCTTTTTTCTCAAATTATCCTTCTAGTTAGATTCTTGTATGATGTATGAGTTACATTATCGATAATGTTCTAAATTCCAATGTAAATGATTAAAAGGAATGGTATTTTAGGAAAACCAGAACGCTTTTTTTTTTTTTTTACAAATAACTAACTTATTCAATTTCTTTGGTTCTCATGAACTAGTTAGCTAGCTCTTACATTTATATGGGAGATTATACTGTTTAATCATTATTATCTGTCCTTGTAATTGCTTGGTTTTTCTATGGAGTTGCAGCATTATATGATATCTCAAATTATTTATTTATTAATTTAGGTTAGTCTTTTATCAACAAATATCTATTCATATTTTAATAATAATTTACTTTAAATTAACAATAATTTATTTAATTTTTTTAAATTTTAACAATAACTAATTTTTGACTGATATAACTTTCTTCTAATGGTCCTTAATTACTATTTTTTCTTTTTATTAAATCACTAGAAACACAAATTTATCAAGAATCATTTTAGATTTGATCTCAATTATCCATTTTTTCAAAAATTTCAGGCTTATTTCAATTTTAAATCAATTAGAATAAAGAGTAAAATAATTTCTTAACTTTCAAATGTTGAAACAACAATGATTTTTTGGTTAAAAAAAAACAATGGTTATTAATATTTTTTGGTACGAAAGTTATTAACAAAAAGATGTTTCGACGTACCCAGGCCCATTTGAATTGGGCCTGCCACGAGTGAAGTCCAGCAAAAATATCAAGCTTATTTCTCAAAGATATGATGACCAGTTGAAAGTGAGAAGACTCGTGGAAGACGCAAGTGCCACACAAGTTGAGTGATCTGATTGTGCAAGCCGCAGAACTTGGCTTGTAAGAAAGTTTCAGAGTGTTCTTCAGTCTTCATGCATCCCTCTCATTCGTCCGCTCCCATTCTCGCCGATGACTTCGAAACGGGAAATTTCACCACCCAACTGCAAAGAGTCGATTCGGCCGTAAATTGTACTGTATATTGTTCATTTTTAGTTCCAGTAGCAGTGTTATGATTGTTGAAATGCTCGATTACGTTTCATCTTCTTTGTTGTTCCAGCCTTTTCAGCATTTTCTTCTTGTTTTTGCAGTTTCACCTCCGAAACCGCTTTTGATTGCAACGCCTCTTGAAGCGGGAAATTTCCCCCTGTTCTTGTACCTCCATGGCTACCTTCTTTACAACTCCTTTTACTCCCAGCTTATCCTCCACATCGCTTCTCATGGCTTCATTGTCGTCGCTCCTCAGGTTAGTCCTCATTTCACCTTGGTCTATGAACTACTGATACTTATCAAAACCTTATCATATCTCTTGTTTTTGTTTCACGGATTGCGTGTTTGTATCTTGTTTTGGTAGTTGGCACTGCTAGATGCGCTTTTGAGAAATTTATTAGCTGTGTTTGTTGACAAGCAAATAATTCATTTGTTGTGTGCTTTTGTAGATAATTTAAGTAATCAAATCATAAAAACAGGAGCCCAGCCGAGGTTTTATATAATATAGTCAGAGAGAGACAGAATACTTGAAATAATCGAAGAGAAAAGGAGAAACAAGGGAAGATAAGTTAAAGGTGGAAAATGAGCTCTCTTTTAATGATAAATTGATTGCAGAGGATCTCGATTGAATCCATTGAATATCAGAAATCAATTTTTTTGGATTGGTTTACTTCAATTATTTTTTATATTGCATGGGCATTTACTGGAGACATGGCACACAAAGTAACTAACCTACATGATTTACAGTTTATTCAGATTATTTGCATTTCATTTCATATCAATACCGGGCGTGTTACATTACAGTAAAACCCAAAATGATGGAGTGTTCAGTTACATATATACGAGGCTTGTATCCACTAACGTACATAGTTGTTTCTTGTTCTGTGATGACAGTTATACACAGTGGCTGGACCAGACATAAGCAATGAGATTGGCTCTACAGCTGCAATAACAAATTGGCTAGCTGAAGGGCTGTCAAAATTTCTTCCTCCAAATGTAAAACCAAATTGCAGCAAGTTAGCACTTGGAGGCCATAGTCGTGGAGGCAAAACAGCCTTTGCTGTTGCTCTTAAGAAACTAAACACCACCACAAATCTCAAGTTCTCAGCCTTGATAGGCATAGACCCAGTTGATGGAATGGACAGAGGAAAACAAACCCCACCTCCAGTTCTCACTTACAAACCTCATTCTTTTGATTTTGATATGGCTTCCTTGGTAATTGGATCAGGCTTAGGTGAGCTCAAGAAAAACCCTTTGTTCCCTCCTTGTGCACCCAAAGGTGTGAACCATGAGGACTTCTTCGACGAATGTCCCAAACCTTCTTGGCACTTTGTTGCAAGGAACTATGGTCATCTTGACATGCTCGACGACGAAACAAAGGGAATTATAGGCAAAGCTTCATATTGTCTTTGTAAGAATGAAGAGTCCAGGAAACCTATGAGAAGGTTCGTTGGAGGGGCTATTGTTGCATTCTTGAAAGCTTACCTTCTAGCTGATGATCGAGACTTGATTGCTATACGCGACAGGCCCCAGAATGTGCCGTTGGATCTCAAAACTATCGAATGTTACGTTTAATATAAAGGATTTACTTTATCGTAACATTTATAATAAATAAACAGCAGAGTTTATGTAAGAACTTTATGCGTGATATTATTACGTGCTCTCTTCATTGAAAAATGTAAGGCATTATTAATTGAATCTCATTTCTTAATAAAATAGTTACTTATATTTAAACTAAAATTATCTTTTCATATTTATCTCTATTTAATATGATATTTCAGTCTAAAATAAATATAAAATAATTTATTTATTAGGGGCATTCTAAAAAAAAGATAATAATTATATCTTGAAATAATAAAAATATTTTATATTTTTTAACATATAACCTTTCAAAAAATACTTTATATTTTTTAACTGGAGGAGTAAATGTTATGAACTAGTTTAAATCTGCACCAAAATTAATCTCCAGTCAATTGCTTACAGATTTGATGAGTGAAATTACTAGTTATCAGACTTCTCTCAAAGTACTAAAGTTGTGTCCGAAACAAAAAAAATCGTGGAGTTTGAATTTCAGTTAAATCAAAATTAACAAAAGTTAAAAAAAAAAGAGGTTTTAATATTGGAGTATTTGATGGTTGTCAACATGAAATTTAAATACGCAGACGTGGCAAATATATCTCATTGGACTAGGGGGATAGAAATTAAAAAAAAATGGCAATAATGAATCCTTGTGCATCCAATACATTATTTATGTAATATAAACCTTACACCAGACACGAGTTATGAATTGTAGAAGAAGTTTTTGAGCAATATTCTACGGCATCATTTATAAGAAGTTTTTGGTCAAATTAATTAAAAATTTTCAGCTATCTCAGCGGCTCGCCGCTGTCATTTTTATAGGGCTTGCAGTTAGAGACTAAACTAAAGCCTAAAAAAAATATAAGAATGACAGCAAAGTTTCAAAAATTTGAATTAATGATAGTTTTTTCAACAAAATTTTTTTAAAGAGTAAGTTATAAATAATAATTTAAAAATTATAAGTAAATTTTTTTATTATAATCTAAAATTTATATTTAATATTTAAATACTTTTTAATAATTGAAACTTTTAAATTTATAATTACCTGAATTAATATTTTTAATTTGTTTTTAAAAAAATTTTGTAAGAAAAAATAGATCCAGCCCAATGAACCGAACGTATAATTTTTTTGGGCCAACTGGACCAAAAAAAAATGGTTCTGTTACTCATTAAAATAAAAAAAAAATGAATCCCTAAATCCGAAATTCGTCAATGAATCTTCCCCTTTTTTCGTCTGACGGGCTTCTCTCTGCAGCAACAGCGCCTATCACCACCTATCTCCGTCCTCTTCCCTCATTCAAGGTCACACTGTGGTGTGGTGGCTGCAACCATCATCTGTTCACCTTTTTCTCGTTAAAATGTCTTAACTTTCAGTTCGAAACGGAACTTAAATGTAAACAATAGTCGCTTCCCGGCCCAATTTCTTCCCCTCATCTCTTACATTGGAACGTTTGATCCCTCGTACTGGAATTTGGACTGGGGACTCATTTGCCAAACTATATCAATAAACTAATGAAGCCATGTGGTCGTTTCTTGGTCCTCTTTTATGCTGTCTGCAACGTCGTTTTCAGTGTCGAGAAGCCAATTCTTGTCTCAAATTCAGAAGTTCATACCGAAATCTTGGAAACAGCCCACTTGCCAAGTTGATAAACAAACCATTCCTAGTGATGAATCTATGACTGGCTCTCTTCATGCATCTCTTAGAGAGTTTGCAAGACAGAATCAGTTATCAAATGCATTCAAAGTATTTTCTCAAATCCAGAGCCATCCATCTTCTTCTGGTTCTTTCGACCTTGTATTACATCCTATCAACTCTCTTCTTTTATCTTGCATCAACCTTAAATCATTGTCACAAGCTAAGCAAGTTCATGCCCAGATTATTTCACTCGGTTTTGATCAACACCCCATTGTGGTTCCTCGGCTTATTACATTTTATGCAAATGTCAATCTTCTCGCTGATGCTCACATTGCCACTGAAAATACTAGTTGTTTCGACCCTTTACCTTGGAATTTGCTCATCTCGTCCTATGTTAGAAATGGGCTTTTTTCAGAGGCTATTTCCGCCTATAAGTAAATGATGAATAAGTAGGTTAAACCATACAATTTCACTTATCCATCTGTCCTTAAGGCTTGTCTTACTGGCATGGAGGTTCACAAGTCTATCAAAGCTAGCTCTCTGGAGTGGAGTTTGGTTGTGCACAATGCGTTGGTCTCCACGTATGGTCGATTAGGGAAAGTGGAGGCTGCCCGTGGTTTGTTTAATAGTATGCCCGATAAAGATTCTATTTCATGGAACTCTATGATTGGGATTTATGCCTCTAGGAATATGTGGGAGGAAGCATTTCTGCTGTTTGAAAGCATGTGCGAGGAGAATATTGAAGTGGGTATAATCACGTGGAACACCATTGCTGGGGCGTGCTTGCGAACAACCAATTTCAGGAGGTCACTTCGTTTGATTTCTCAGATGAGAACATCTGTTTGTCATTTGGACTCTGTGGCAATGGTTAGTGGATTAACTGCATACTCTCACATAGGAGCCTTTAAATTAGGAAAGGAGATTCATGGACGTGCAGTCCGAACTTGCTCCGATGTGTTTGATAACATAAAAAAATGCATTAATTACTATGTATACTAGGTGTAGAGACCTTAGGCATGCATATATGGTCTTCCATAAAATAGAAGAAAAAGGTGTGATTACTTGGAATGCGATGATTTCTGGATATTCTAATGCGGATCGATATGAAGAAGTGTCCTTCCTTTTCAGAGAGAGATTCTGTGAGGGGGTTGAACCTAGTTATGTGACCATTGCAAGCATTCTTCCTCTTCATGCTCGCATTGCAAATCTACAGCATGGAAAAGAATTTCATTGCTACATCATGAAGCGTGAGGACTTTAAGGACCTGTTGTTATTGAGGAATGCTCCTGTGGACATGTATGCGAGGTCTGGCAAAGTATTGGAAGCTAGAAGGCTGTTTGATTCACTGAATGCAAGAGATGAAGCCACATATACTTCTATGATTGCTGGTTATGGTATAAAGGGAGATGGAGAGACTGCTCTAGAACTATTTGAAGAGATGTGCAGGGTTGGGATTAAACCTGATAAAATAACAATGATTGCATTTGTATCGGCTCGTAGTCACTCAGGCCTTCTAGCCCAAGGAGGATTGCCGTTTAATCAGATGACAGATGTCTTTAGGGTAAGTCCTTGCCCGGAGCACGGTGCCTGCATGGATAATCTATTTGGGAGAGCCGGTCTTTCAAACAAAGCAAAGAAAATTATAACTGGGATGCCCTACAAGCCAACATGCTGCCATGTGGGCCACTCTTTTGGGAGCTTGTAAAAATCATGGAAATACAGAGATGGGGGATGGGCTGCAGGGAAAGTGCTAGAGATGAAGCCTGATCATTCAGGTTACTATGTATTGATTGCCAACATGTATGCTGCTGGCTGTTGGAGCAAACTAGCACATGTGAAGACATATATGAGAGACTTGGGTGTGAGAAAGGCTCCTCGTTGTACTTGCGTTGCTGTTGGCAATGAGTTTGCTCCTTTTTCGGTGGGGGATACTTCCAACCCTCGTGCTTCTGAGATTTACCCCTTGATGAATGGGTTGAATGAACTAATGAAAGATGCTGGTTGTGTGCGTGGTGAGGATTTTGCTTCACCTGAGGAAGATTTTGAAGAATTGAATGCCCTTGGAAGTTTATACTGATGAGAATTACTTGCTATTGTGCATAAATTTAAGACAACTATTCTTGCACTCTTATGCAGTTTGTTTTACAAACCTATCTCCTATTTGTAAGGCTTGTGAAACCAAAGTTCTTAAATTGGTTGCTGGATCAGGAACTACTATTGAAGCTCTGAATGGCAAAACTCTAATGGGAGTTTAGTTCCTAATAACCATTTTGCTTCCATTACATCCTAGCTCTTTACTGTTTGCCTCGTTCGCTTAAATATTATCCACTATTATTCACATTATTGGATTTGAAATTATATATGCACCTTCTGAGGATAAAAAGTTTGAATTTAACTGTGTAAGTTTTCCTATTATTATCTCTATAAAATTTAGGTATAAACTTCTTATACAAAATTATTCCATGGCATAGTTTCCTTGATTAGCAAGGGTTATTCATGTGTATGAGTTAGTATATTTGCTTTTCTATGCCTCCCTGCATTTAACTATTTCCTATGTGACTATGCCTTATGAAATCACACAGTCGCTTTACAAGGTATAACTTGTGAGTGGATATAAGATAAAACCATCCTACATTTTGCTTTTTTGCCCGATTGCTGTGTTAGTTTGGGCAACTGACAAATATCAAGTGCAGTATTGTGCCTTTATGAATTCAGATGTAGTGCTGTCAAGTTTACAGTACTACATGTCTCAAGCCTTACTAGGTAAAAATGAGGTATTGTATGAAATTATTTTTTCATGATCTTTCTTGCCTCCCTCGGTGAAATAGTGTTCTGATTTATAATAAGTTGTGCTTGCGTGCGTGTAATATGATACAACTTTTTACTTTCCTGTTGTCAAATCATATTCTTATTCTTTCATGTTACCTTTTCTTCAACAATTTAAATTGCATATGAATTTCACATATTACATAAAATCTGAAAAAATAAGTTGGATTGTCTAAATTTTATATTGATACATGTATTAATTTTTATTTCAAATATAATTATTACATTTAATCAATTTTCTTAAACTATAATTTTTTTTCTTATATTTGAATATTGAAGAAGTAATCTTCTGTGTTATATGGCCGATGGATGAGATATAGAAGATTTTATAATATGATAATTTGCTATGCCAACGGATGGGCATTTGGTCTAGTGGTATGATTCTCGCTTTGGGTGCGAGAGGTCCCGAGTTCGATTCTCGGAATGCCCCATTTTAAGTTTCTGTTTTAATTCCGAATTTGCAAATAATAATTCATGATGACTGTATTAACGTGGCTTCCTATATATTTATTATATATTTCATATTAATGTTAATTACGTACCCTGAATTGATGTCATCTCATCATCCTCGTCCTCATATCATCAAGCACGACAAAAGCTTAAAACTCAAGCTGGGATCAACAAAATGACAACCATCTGAAACTTGTAAACTTCATTATATTCATGCATGAGATTGTGATCCAACAATTATTTTCGAAACCTCGGGCGATAATATCAAACTATGTAGCCCTTGTTCTTAATAGAAACTGCATAACCACGCCAAACCCCAAACACAAACACAACAATACAACGTCATCAAGATTAATAAAGAACTGAAAACCCTATATCCAGAGCTTCAGAATCAAATCTGTCTCCGAGTCGTCGTCGTCGTCGTCAGTAGGAACCTGATTCTTCAGCATTTGGAATAACAAGCTCTCTCACCCTTCGAACCACTGTGTTATTCGGTTCTTGTCAAGGTGCTCGACGGTTCTGATGAGCCGGAGCAGGGATGACACCTGCCGGCAGCAAAAGCGGTTGCTCTAGTGAGCCGAGCAGACATCACTGCAAGCTGCTCCTGCGGCGATATCACATTATCATTCCTCATAATCAGAAATCTCCTTATAGCAGCGGTGGCTCGACGTTGCTGAGTTGCCTGTGTCGTCTGTGAGCCATCATAGAAGAGTCCTCCTTCAGAGTGAAGAACAAGGTAGTGATACAAGTGACGTAAAGCAGCCTCTCTGCCCAAGACAGGAGAGTCAAGAATGGAGGATCGACGGATATGATTTCTCGCGAAAGGATGGTAATTAAGCCGGTTTGAAGAAGCCTGTTCAGTTCTGATAACAGGCCTTGCTTGGGATTGGCGACCACCATAGTTTGACAACTCGGAATACAGATCCCAAATATTGTTGCTGGACATGGTTTCAGGTGAAGATGAGGAGAGGATTTGGTGGCATTGAGAGAACGTTGCACCTATGTGCGTATGTCGGGGATGGATATAGTTCTCTTTTTATAGGCCAGGGCTGATGGCATATTAAGATATTTTGCTGACAAAATTGTTGTAAAGTTGAATTTTGGGTAAATTTATTTTTGTTTCAATGATTCAAATATGTATTGGTGTTGTTTTTTATGATAACTAAGAATTTTGTTACATTTTATGGTATCCTGGAATCGTTTTATACATTCAGTAATTTATTCAGTTACATGAATACTTTTGATATCACGGAATCAATTAACAAATTTAGATAGATTCGGATGATTATTTCTGGAAGAGTAAGTCATGTTCTGTTCATCTGGTTCTAATTACGGATTCTAATTAAATTCATGAAAAAAGTAAATCAACAAAGTAGTCAATTCAAAGATATATATGCCCATAGCCACGTAATTAAGCTTCAACAGTAATCTATATAACTTCATCATTATCACCAACAAACATTAGTTTCAGTCCTAGAGCTATGACTGCTTAAATAAAATGTTTATAGTTTGAGTTTATGCAAATAATAATAAAAAATAATTATATCCATATGGACTTGAAAGTATTGAATAGTAGATAACATATTAAAAAACTTTCTCAATTACCATTATCCTCGATAAGATTGAGCTCAAAGGCTAGTAAGCTTGGTAAACCGGTCCAAATCTTCTCCTTGTCCTCTTTCTCCTTTTTCTTCCCTTAATCCCATCTCTACTTTTAAATGATAAAATATATGGTTCAAATTTAATTATTTTATAAAATAATTATTATAATATCATATAATTAATAAATAAATTTAAAGTGCTAAAATTTTACCAGTACAGCTTTACTATTCTAAACTGTGACTAATTTTTTTATAAATTAAAATCTTTTATTTATTTTCTTGCAGTTATAAATTGTCTAGGTCAAATTTTAATAATTTAAATTTATTTTTTAATGCAATATTAGAATAATCATTTTATAAAACAATTAGATCTAAATCATTTATCCTTTATCCAAGGGTAGAGATAGGATGAAGACGGGAAAAAGAGAGAGTGGGATGAGAAGAGGATAAGCTTCCTAGTAAACCCTAATTGACCCAGTCAAATCAAGTTGGGTTAGGTTAGATTGGCAATAAAGAAGGGAGGGAATCAAGCCAAAAAATAAAATCATATTTATTTACAACTACATGAACACTTATGATATCACGTAATTAATTAACAAATTTAGCCATATTCAGATAATTATTTCTTGAAGAGTAAACAAGGTTCTATTCATCTGACTCTAATTTCATATTCCGATTAAGTTCATTAACAAACTAAATTAACGAAGAAATCAATTAAGGGATATATGCCAATAGCCAGTTAAGCTTCAATTAATGGACTAATCTGAGTAACTTTATCATCATCACCAACAAATGTCAATAAAGAGTTATGGTCGCATATGAATGGGATCTGGATTTGCATCCATATGAATGCAAAAGATACATTTGGGAAAGCTACTCTCAATAGGCCGACCAATGCTTAAACTTGATAATATTTGAATCTGATTCAATAGTACTTAATACTAAATAATGTATTAAAAAACCATTCTCTCAACAAGATTTTGATTTCATAGGCTTATAATCTTTGATAAACTACCCAATCGAATCGCGTTGGGTTAGGTTAGCTGGCAATAGAGAAAAAGGAAAATCAAGCCAAATTTATTCACAAGTACATGAACATTCAGCATATCAATTAACAAATTCAGCTAGATTCAGATAATTATTTCTTGAGATTTGTCTGCCATTCCAGAGTCCGATTAGTCCATGAACAAAGCAAATTATCAAAGAAATCAATTAATTGATACATGCCAATGGCCACGAAAGCTTCAAAGGAGTAATCCATATAACTTTACGATTATCACTAAGAAGCATTAATCCTAGTGAAAGGAATTATGGTGGCTTAAGTATGTGATCTCGAGTTGGAATTTATATAAATGCAAAAGAGCTTCTAAAGAGCTATTTTCATATGGATTAACAATATCTGAATTTAACAATACTCAAATCTAATTTGATGGTATTGGATATTGAATAATGTATTAAAAAAACTTTATCACCATCCTCAAAAAGATTGAGTTCATAGGCTAATGAGCTTGATAAACTTGATATGACTCAATCAAATCAAGTTAGTTTAGGTTGGACTGACAATATAGAAGAAAGGGAATCAAGCCAAATTTGTTCACAAGTGTATGAACACTTTTGATATCACGTAATCAATTAACTACATTTAGATTTTTTTTTTCCGAAAAGAAAACTAGGTTCTATTCATTTGACTCTTGTTCCGTATTCCGATTGAGCCTACAAATAAAATAAATTAACAAAGAAATCAGTTCAAGGATATATGCCAATAACCAAGTAAGCTTGAATGGAGTAATCAATATGACTTTATCATTATCACCAATAGATGTTGGTCTAGTGGCATGGGGTTTGGCCAATGAAATATGAAATCTTAAATTTGAGCACGTGTGAATACAAAGAATACCTTCTGAAGAATTACTCTTATTTAGATCTAACCATTCTTGATTCTAATAAGAGAGCATCGAATATCAGATTATGTATAGAAGAAAGGAAATCAAACCAGCCCTTCGTACAAGATTTCAATTATCAACTTCATAGAAGTGTCACCTCAAGCCTCAGACCAATGAAATATATCCAATAATTGCTAAGACCTTGGACTTGGTAAGATTGAAACTCCTTGATTCGTTTTTTTTTTTCTTTAAAAAAAGGAGAAGAAGAAGAATAAGTTGCAAGGCTAGGAACAATTGAAACTCCAATACTGATGCTAACCAAGCTTGACCCCATCCTCCCCCCCCCCCGGGGTTTGGGAAAACATATACAAACTCGCATCGAATTTTTTATTGTTTTAGGGACAAATATGATTTTACAATCTATATAAAATTATTTTTTATTTTGGTAACATAAAATTATTTTTATGTTATTGTATAAATTCTATCAAAAAATTGGAAATTGATCTATGACTAAGCATGAAAACTAGCCTTGTTGGTTTGAGCAATTTTGTCTAACCCAATCAATTCTGATCGGGCCACGTCAATTCTCAAAAAAACATAAAATACGAGCGAAATTTGGGCCAACCATTTGACTTTGCATTGGATGAAGTACCCTTCCTAGTTTAGGCCTGACATAGATACGAGTTACGCCAACCTCAGACCAAGACAAGCTTTGAGTTTCAACTTTCAACCTCAAATGACAGATCAATATAATTAATTCACTACAAAATAAAATGAGAGAAACCGCAACATGGGACTATGAAAAACACAGCTCAAAAACAAATATTTAACTAAAACAAATAATGAACAAATGTATATATAGATATATATAATTTTAAACTTACCCTATTAGACTTAGTACAGTGGGCCAACCGACCCACAAGATAAGAAGGAAGGGAGGCAACATTCCTCCAAGACTTGTGAAGGACATTCTTAGAGGGTCCCTCTATTTCTTACCCGTCAGTGAAGTTACACTCATCTGTCATGTGACCAAGAATTATTAGCATACAGAAAAATTCTCTGCCTGTGAGGTTAGCAATAATGCATTCATGATCCACAATGTTCTACAAAACTAATCAGAGATTTCTCCCTCCTATAAGGTACAAATAGTATCCAGAAACTATTCAAAAATCAAAACTTGAAATTTCTTGACCCAGATTTATTAGTTCTGCAACTGCATATGGTACGGAGCAGTGGAGAATGGAGTTACCAGTTAAGCAAGCAAAAGATTTCTCTCATCTTTCTCATCAAGCTAGATTCACACTGTTTTCTCCTCTTTACAGCAAGCATGGAATATCTTGTATACAGTTTATATCAATTCCCATGTCACTCCTTCAAAGGCCAAGGCAGGGGAGGAAACGTCCGTCGCCAGATTGCGCTTATAAAGCAGGCTAACGAATCAAGGGAGAGAGATCCACGGAGACTTCAGAATATGCAATGGTTCAATGTCAGACTGGTCATTACTTGTACATAATTCCATGTTCACTGACACTGCCACCAGCAAGCCTTCTAAACATATGCCATAACCGTCTGCTTCTTCCAGTCCTCAAAGGGCCTGAATAGGAGTGTCTTCTAAATGAGCCGGACTCTTGCCCCCCAAACCTTGCCGATGAACTGAACAATTCAGATGCTGATAACCCTCTTTCAATGTCTACTCCGTTGTCCAAGTTGGTAGCAAAGTGTTGTCCTTGGAAGTTACCTGGTTGCTGTCCAGAAACAGTACTGACTCCCATATCCAAATTAACAGACAAATCATCCTTGCTAGAACTTCTTGAAAATGCTTCTTTTGCTTCATCACATTCATTACATACGAGTTTTAAAGCTTGAACAACCTCTCCCATGAAAGGACGGTTTGATACCTCTGGCTGCACACACATTGAAGCTATGGCTGCAACTTTAGCCACACTATCAAAAGGCACATCAGGTCCCAGAGATGGATCTATTATTGCTTCGAGTCCTTCTTTGCTTGTCAGCAGAGGACGCGCCCATGCGACAAGGTTCTCCTGACCAGGAGGTTGTGACATGTCTACTGGCTTTCTTCCAGTCAGAAGCTCAAGGAGAACAACACCATAGCTGTAAACATCACTCTTTACCAATAGATGCCCAGTCATGGCATACTCTGGAGCCACATAGCTGGATAGAATGTTAAAATTAAAAATAAATCAAACCAGCGAATGAACAATAGTGAAACTCATCAAAGAACAAAAATAGGTTTGAACGTCAAGAGTTGAAATTGACACCGAGATCTCAATATTAGCCACTATAATTTGGATAAATTTGACACTAAGTTAGAGGCGGATATTATTATATATTCAAGTAGAGGCCTAGAAGTGACAAACTAAAATAAAGAAATAAGTTGTGAGTATAAAGGGAAAGGAAAAGACTTTGTACCCAAAAGTTCCCATGACACGTGTTGATATGTGTCTGCTCTCCTCATCTGTTGCTATTCGAGCCAGTCCAAAATCAGATACTTTTGGTGTAAAATCATCTTCCAACAAGATGTTGGAAGACTTGAAGTCCCTATGTATTACACGGGGACTGGAATCTTCATGCAGATAAGCCAGACCACGTGCAGCACCAAGAGCTATCTTCATGCGGGCAACCCAATCAATTGGATTGGTCTCCCTGTCAACTCCTATCAGCACATCAAAAGGAAAAGCACAAATTACATTCATAAGCCACAACAAAGAGCAAAGAAACTTAAATCCAGGGTAAGAAAATTCAGCAGATTTACCTACCATGTAAATGGGAATCCACACTGCCATTTGGAATGAGTTCATAAACCAAGCAGCGGAATGTTTCCTCTGTACATATGCCTAGCAACTTGACCAAATTTCTATGGTGTAAACGGCTAAGCATCTCAACTTCAGCTAGGAATTCACGATCACCATGGTGATCCTCCCTCTTTAGAACCTTGACAGCCACTTTTGTCCCATCATCAAGAGTACCACTATAAACACGCCCAAAACCACCTTCTCCAAGTATTCTTGAAGTGTGAAAGTTGTTAGTGGCTCTCTCAATATCACTCATGCTGAAAGTCTTGGCAGAACCTTTATAAGCTGCAATGCTAGATCGAAATGACGAGATGCAGAAACTGTCCCACCTCCAGTCAATGACCCAGCAGTGCCTGTGAAATTCAAATATTTGTTTCTTAAGCAAAGCAGCAGAAGATTGACCAATAAAAATGTTCTGCGGTTGTGTTACACGGAAACATCCAAAACTCCAATTATAACTTCAAAAAATGTGATACTACTTATAACTTAAAAAATACGATGCTAGGAAAAATTAACCAGCTGATTTGAATAGGTGCAGCTGAACCTTTTTTCCTGCAACCCTTTTCCTTCTTCTATAAGATAAGATCATAAGAACCAATAAGCCAGTTTTCAGTTTGCAAATAGTGTTGTATTCAATAACCAACCGCTAAGACAAAAGTTTTTGCTCATGTTAAACAGTTAACAGGACAAAATGCACAAGTTCATGTGAGTTTTAGATATCAGCAGTTGCATTACCTGGGGTCTTGGAAAGAGAAGGTGGCAAAGTCCGTGGAGTTGATGCTGCTTGAGATACATGATCTCTGCGCTTGAACAGCAAGACCCATGCAGCAGCAGAGCATAAAAGAACAGCTACAAAGGCTGAAAGTGAAATAATGGCAATCATGCTGCCGCTAAGTCCGTTTTTATGCCGCCTTTTTGGTATGTCCACCCCAATGGGCTTTATCGTCCTTCCATTATTGCCATTAGAATATGGGCCACCATCTATCATTGTCATGCTTGGTGGTAAAGGAGGTGATGGCGGCAAGCCTACAAAATCGACAAGATTTCTCACCAAAATAGCAACAGAAAGATGGGAATTAAACAAGAAATTCTGGATTTGTATATACCTGGATAGTTCACATATAACACTTCATAGTCTCCAAAGTAGGAAGGTTTTATAACAACCAGTTTATGCCAAAATCTCTGAGAGGTCAAAAAAGCTGTAGTGTTATCGAACTTTTCCCCAAGTGGAACCAAATCTATTAGGACATCAGTTTGCTCTGGTTGCTGATCAGCTGATTTAGCTCCCATTATGCGAACTTGACTTTGCTTCATGAAAACCCCAGTGGAGATTTCAGAAGCCAGTTCTGAAACCAAAGGGAAGAAGGTATAAAGAGAAACACCAAGGCGAAGACCAACTTGCATCGGCCAGACACATCTGCAAGGTGCTCCAGGGGGAGAATTTGTATAAGGCTCTGTGCAGACAATTGATAAACAATCTGAAAAACAGAAAGATACTATATTTCAGTGCAACAAATGAGGATAGGAATAATTAAAAGAATATACAAATCTTTGCAGGCAGATAACGAGATTGAGGAAATAAGGTGCTAGCCTTCATTAGGAGGTGGAGGTGGAAGAGCTTGAACTTTAGGCAGGACCGGTGTCTTAGGGCTCTTGGAAGAAGACCCAGGAGATGATTCAGGAGAAAGAAATGGTACTTGCAATAGAAAACACAATAAATCATGCAAAGTGGATAATAAATGATAATGAAAAGACTTGATTTTCAAATATAACTCTCCATGAATTAAAAGGATGTAATTTTTCCTTCTTACTTTTGGCAGGATGAGGGCCGAATCTGAACAATGGAGATGGAGCATGTGAGACTTGGCTCGCTGGTGGCAAAGAGAATGTAGTTGCTGAAGTTCCAACCATGCAAAAAAATTGTTAGAAACTAAAATGCCCATTACCTATCTTCTCTTTCTCCTAGAATAAATGGCTAACGAAGTTGTTTATACTTTGTACAGGTACCTGGGTTTGCTGGCGGTGGAGCATAATGTCTTTGTCCACTTGTTGGGAGTAATGAAGGAGGCATTGCTTGTCCTATATCAAGTAGTGAAAATGACCAAAAATAAGAAAGAAAGCAAAAGATAGGAGTTAGGTTAAATTGCAGTACGTAAATTGTACAAAATAACATAGGATTAAGAGTCATTTTTGTCCCTCAACTTTACCTGAAGTGTTAGTGGGCACCCTAAACTCAAATAAATGTCAATTTTATCTCTCAATATTAAAGATTTTCTCCCTCATCATCATGTCTTTCTCACCGTCTCTTCACCATTAGTGATCCCCACATTATATTTTTCATATTTTTTTATTATAAAATATTTGAGTTGAGGGTGCTCACTGACTTTTCAGGTAAAAGTTAAAGGGGCAAAATGACCCTTAACCCTATGTTTTACAATAAAAAATATTTAAAGATGCAATATGGGGCCCACCGTACATTTTTCATATTTTTTACTATAAAATATTTAAGTTAAGAGTGCCCATTGATCTTTGAATAAAAGTTAAGGGACAAAAATGACCCTTAACCCAATATTTTATGATTAAAAACTATTTAAAAATGCAATGTGATGCCCACTAATAGTGAAGACACGGCGAGTTAACATCAAGGGTACCAAGGGAGAGAATTTCTAATGTTAAGGGGAAAAATAGACCCTTATTTGAGTTCAAGGTACCCATTAACCCTTCGGGTAAAGATGAGGAATAAAAATGACCCTCAATCCAATAATACATCGAACCTTGGTTGATTGAAGTGGGAGAGATTAGATCTGATGATGCAGGAGCAGGACTGGTGACTATGTTCCTTTCATGGTGATGCTCGTGTGAAACAGGGGCTACAATACAAAAGGTATCAATATAAATAGTTCTATTATATATATCTAGAAGCTATCACTATCAAGTGTATGTTAACATTTACATTGCTTCTTTACAATGTTTCTCCTCAGCTGAAGTTTTTGGACAATCTATAGTCAAATACAGTAAGAAAGAATGGCTGAGCACATGATGTCATTTTATCTTTTAAGAAACCTCATCTCCCAGAAAAAGCCTGTATAATGTCAGTTTAGCAATGTTACATCAATATTAAAGTTTGAAACTCTATTATAGGAGTATCTTTTGATAGCTTTGCTTTCAGGACAATGAAAAATCTTGCAGCAAAGTACATGCACCTTATGAAAAGTAGGTCCAGTGTTGCATACCTAGAGCCGGGGAATGTATTACAGCTGGAAGTGGCTTTGGTGTTTTATACAAAGGCGCAGCAACTGGTCCTCTACCATTTTTCCAATTGAAGATTCTGGAAGGAGTTGATGAAGGAGAGATAACGGGTGCTGAACCACGTTTTTTTATCAATAAAATGTCCATGAATGACAATATTATCTCAAAGTAGAATTTATATTTCACAACTTAATAAAGAAACTAAAGCAGTCAAAACAAGGAAACACATAGGGTAAGGTAAGTGTAGTCAGAACAAAATCAACCATTTTATAGTGTTAGCGCTGACAATTGCAAATGAACTCAAGCAATGAGTAAAAGCATTGCAATTTGAGGGATCTGGATTCATATTTCTCATTGTTTTAGAATCATTTGACGAATGTACTTAACACAAGAAACATCAAAACTATATAGTCCGATTATCTATAGCTTGGTCCAATAGTTGAGGAATCTGGATTCATATTTCTCAGTGGCATATAATGATGTGAGAAGAAATGAGAGATACAATCACGTCTCACTTTGCAATATCCACAGATTTGTAATTTAAACTGAAGAGAAGCAATAATAGACATGGTCATCTATAGCTTGATCCAATTGTTAAGGTATCTGGATTAATTTTTCCGATGGCATGTCAACTGGCAATATGGGAAAAGAGAGATACAATCACCTGTCATTTTGGAATATCAAAAGAAAATCATTTAACAAGGCAACAAAAATACATTAGGTCATATAATACAGTCTGTTGGTGCATATCTTCATTCTAAACCATGATCATTTAGGTGAAGTGAAGAGAACGTGCCTACAAAATGAATAGTGTGAAAAGGCGACTGAAAAGTAGGGAGAGAGAAAAATTCTCTTATCAAAATTTGCACCTGGTAATTCTGATGGAGATAACGCTGGTATAATGGGGTGGACAGACGGTGGGTTAACAGGAAATGCCCTTGATGGTGACATAGCTGGTGCTGCATAAATACATCAAAAAAAAGGGCAACAATGAGACAAATAGAAGTGATCCCCTAAATAGAAATCTAAATATTTTTATTTATTCCTATCCTAAAAAATTAAGGTATTGAAATTTACCAGGTAAAACAGGCCAAAATAAAAAATTACCAGGGAATATGGGTGGAGTTAAACTTGGGGAAATAGGGTGAACTAGTGGTGGGTTATGTCGAACTTTTCTTGGGGAGGATGCCACAGATTCTGCATCCAATGAGAATGAGGAAGTTCAGAACCACATAGTTGAATTCATTTTATAAGATTTTATTACATACCAGGTGGAACTGGCTCCAGGGTGTGACCCTCATTTGGAATCCCTTTATGAACTTTAGGTGGCAAACTTCCATGCCCAGTTGGTTGGCTGACTGGTGAAATTTGAGGCAAACTGGCAGGGGGTGCAAGAGAGGCTGCTCAAAATGCAATGAAAGAGCAGATCAAGGTCAATGTAAATAAAAGTCTGACTATGAAGAAAAAGAAGATTCAAGCTCTATGGTAATGCTATCATGACAGGATAAGATAACAAGACCTTAGTCACATACTTGCATTCCTACTATGGATATTAGGAGGCAAACTTCCATGTCCAGTTGGTTGGCTGACTGGTGAACTGTTTGGCAATTTGGTATAAGGTACTGCAGGGGCTGTTCAAAATACAATAAAAAGCAAATTTTGGATCAATAGTGGCTGGAAGCTATCTATGATAAAAAGAAGAAGAAGAAGAAGTTTAAACCATCTTGTAAGAATTCACAAATCTTCAGAAGATTTTCATCACATGCCTGGTAAAGCTGGATCTGGCGCATGACCTTTCTTCGCATCCCTTTTGTGAATAATAGGTGGAAAACTTCCATCTTCAGTTGGTGAGCTGCCTGGTGAGATTTTGGGCCAATTGACAGGAGTCATTGTAACTGGGGCTGTTCAAATATGCAGTTGATGAGAACATATAGGATAAATACCAGCAAGATTAAGAAATCACAAAAAGGAAATCATAAGACATGACAAATGTATTATCACATACATGGTGAAATTGGCTCCATGTTGTGACTTCGATTTGAATTCCTTTTAGGTGGTAAATCTGATTCAATCGGCAGGCCAACTGGTGAATGTTTAGGCATGTCAACAGAAGGTGTTGCAATGGGGGCTGTTCAATATGCCATAAAAGAGAAGAATATTGGTCAAAATCAATTGGAAGCTAGACTCCCAGCCCCCTTCAGAAAGTAAAATACAAGGCCATGTACAATGTACCAGGGACATTGGGTGTTGAGACTGGAGGTGTCAAAGCAGGTTCTATTCTTTGAGGCGGACTTGGTTGTACTGATGGTGGCACTTGAACTTGTGAAGTTGAGGGTGGAGGAGCAATCTTATGTGATGGAGGTGGTAATACTGCTGCACTTGGTGGTGCAGATGACTGGGATGAGGGTGGAGGAACAACCTTATATGATGGAGGCAGCGACATCGTAGCACCTGTACTTGGTGATGCAGAAGGCTCAGTTGACGGTTGGGGAACAGCCTTAGATGATGGAGGTGGCAATATTGTAGGACTTGTACTTGGTGCTGCAGATGGCTCAGTTGAGGGTGGAGGAACAACCTTTAATGATGGAGGTGGTGATATTGTCGCACTTGCACTTGGTGATGCAGATGGCTCGGCCCCAATTGTCTTCTTTGACGATGGAATTGTGGGAGGTGATAATGTAACTGAATGGTGCAGCAAAGGCCCTGAGTGATGGAAAAAACCAGCTTCTTGATCAAACGATGCTATGATGAAATAACATTAGTGAGAATGAAATTACCATTTGGTACAGCTGCTGTATATGGGGCAATTGTCCCCATGACTTTCTGGGAGAAGAATGCACTGGCATGGTTGCTGGGGATGGGGAAACAGCAAAATCTAGGAGAAGATAAATAGAAAAGTATAAAACAACAGGAGAAACTGATGAGGACCATGAAAAACCAACACCAAGTAAAAAAAACAAAAATCTCAAAATTCAACCCCGTGTTGTATGATTGATGGATATACCACATAGGTCTAATAGTGAGCTTGGGGTACTACTTCCCCATGACTCTCCATGCTGGATAGGAGTTAGGACTAGGTACTGGAGTTTCTTTTCTAGGAGGAATGGCAAGAAAGAATACTGGAGATGGAGATATAGTGAACCCTAAGAGAACATAATATCACAAGAAATTAAAAGTCTAAGCTAACAGTCCAGAAAGCCCCCAATTGCCAAACATGACAGATTGATCAATATAGTATGGCTCATATTGACAGTATCTTCTAAAAGTTTTGAAACTATGGAGCCTATCTATTTCACTCTTATAGAAATTTGAATATTTCAGGCCATCATTCATTACTCCAAGGAAGACAGTGGCTTTCAAACAGGCGTGTTAATGGAGGAATGAGCAATCTATCCACAGGCAAAAATTTCCTTCACTGCAGGAATCTCCTAATCAAAAAATGATGAGGCGAAATACAACCAAAAACAGCCATAAGTCACTGAAACAATAGATGCTGAATAGGGGGAAAATATGAACTTCAGAAAACCGTGATTACCGAATATTAGTCACATTGTTGCTACTAGAGCCAATATCCTATGGTTCTAAAGACACGTCGCCCAGTAAGACTATGAGCGGACGGTGAGCTAATGGGTTAAAAACCGGCCAATAGAAACAAGCCTCTTTTATTTAGTATTCCAAGTTAGATTCTGTAAGCAATCAAACCGATAACAGAGATAAGAAAAAGACATCCGATGCCTCATTTGGTGATCTTAACTATTTGACAACGTCTGATTTTTGCGTTTACTAAGATATGACGATTCAAACAAACTTTAAGGTTATCGGTGTCACAGTTACCACAACATTAACAAATCATGGCGACCCAGATCAAGTAGTTTTAGCTTATGCAAAAGTTTGAATGAAGAATTCTAAAAATTAAGCGTTTACCTGTAGATCCCCGGACTCCCAAAGCAAAGCCAATGATGCAGAGCTTCACCAGCAAAAGAATGGATGACCGAAACAGCCCCATCCCATACCAATAATCTCCGGGTCTCAATACAATCCCCTCAGTTGTAATAAATAAGAGAGAAAATTACAGATTTTGAAAGTTAATAACTTGAAGCAAGAATAAACGGAGGTTGATTTGTAGAAGACCCACATATATTGATGGCAAAGCAATGAGAAGGTAACTAATGGAATAACCCATAACAGTGTCTAGTGAAAGAGACAGGAGGAGCCCAAGCAACTGTTTGCTGAAAACATGAGCTCTGGAATAGGAAGAACTTAGAGATCTCCATGTGAGGTAGAAGAACCAGAATAACACTCTTCAATAAACGTTGCTTATAATTCCAGATTAAATTTCATCTGAAATAGTCCACACACAGTCATACAGAAACTTGCAAAGAACGGGCGAAGGTGGAGCAAATGGCCACCTCTCAGATCTCAGAGATCAGAGAGAGAGGGAGGGAGGCAGTTGAGGTGGGACAGAGGCTTTCTGGTTAGAGTAGAGTAATGTAGTATAATTAATATTTCAGTGGGAAAGTCTGGCTCAAGTGCTGGATGTCAATGGAGGATTATTACCAAACTTCGTACTGTTCTGTCCAGTGGAGGTTGCCTGGTTGCGTTTCTTCTTTAACGTTGTCATCTGGAAGCTCTTCCCGGCCATCCAAAGATAGTGATTTATTGATACCACCGAGTGTCATGTGTCAAGATCTGGCTCTGACACATCATCCATCAACCACCAACATGTTTTCAGTTTATTATTTATCAACGGTCATTATGACTTTTGCGACAAAACCATAAAAAGCGGCCTCCCAAGAAGAACACATGGGATTGATGACAAGTTTCCAATTTGGAAGAAATCACAGATAAAATACATGTCAAAAAAAAAAAAACGCAAATGGTTTGTTCTTGTATGTTTAGAAACAAAAGGCCTTGAGGATGCTAATTAATCTGCATGATTAGACAGGTAATTAGATGCTCCCCTTGAAGAAGTGAGTGATCAATTTGCATGCTTCGAGAAGAGGAAAAAGGGATAATTAAAGGGCATGCTAGATGCCACCACGTTCAAGGAGGGGAAAAGGAAGGCTAAGAAAACTGACAATAAAAGTTGCAATATTTGGCACCCGTGACACTCAATTATAAGGGACAAGAAACAAAGCTGTGAGATTTTAGCTATCAGTTTCAGTCGGCGAAATAAATAAATGAGTCCACAGGTCATGAATTATGATATGATAATTGAAAGCTTGTTCCAGTGTAGTTGTGGATGGTCTCAACTTGGAACTTACGTGGGGTGAATTTGAAAAGAACAAACAGATATAGCGCACGAATATCAGTGAAAATCAATTTTAATTTTTTTTTGTAAATTTAACTTTTAAATTGAAATTGAGTTTATTTAAATTTTTTGCTGTCAATAGCATATATTATAAATAAAAAAATTTATAATAGTTTTATTGTGCATCATGTTATTATAGGATCAATCTTATTTGAGGTACAATTCAACATCAGACATTTTTTTAGTAAGATTCGGACATTAGTTTATTACCTGCTAATTTCTTCAATTAGGTTCAACTCTCATAGATTGTTTTGTAATGCTTTTAATTCATTATCATTATCAAATAATCATATACATAGTGCGTAGATGGGAATGGGATACAAGTAGTCATAACTCCAGTTTTGGGATTTATCCTTGCTTTGGATGGAAAGAAAAATAAAAACTAGGCAGAAAAATTCTTGTCTTCTTTTAGTTTTCGCTTCTTTCTTTTTTTTTTTTCTTTTTTTTGCCACTTCTTTCCAGATCCAAACCAAGCCATAAGTTTACACTTTATAAAGGCAGATTGTCTTTAATTATAAGAAAATAATAGTAAAACACTGGGAGGAAGATTCCGGCGCACGAGGCGCCATCTTCTTTTTGGGAGGCTGGTTATAGCCTAACACACAAGTCAATCGACTTTAACTAACGCTCGGGAATATTCATTTATTTCGGCCAAACTATAGCCAACACTTGAACTTTAAGCAAATAATAATATAATTTTATAAAATTCGGAATCATCACACTAACTTGCAAACAAAGGAATGTTTGAAGACTCAAATTAATAAATATAGTACCACCAGCCATATTCATGATATTATTGGATTTCAATGAAGAATACCGCAAACTAGAAGAGTTCTCAAAACGAAGACGCAAATAAGATGTGAGGCTCAAAGAAGTTGCACAAGAGATGGGTCATCATGGAACACTTGAACATAAATCTTTTTTACACAGTACAGTGTTTTTAGAGAGAGAGAGAGAGAGAGATTTGAATTGAAGATATTATTTGTTTTTAAATACTGTGACATGGATGGATGCTTTATGATAATTACTAATTGGCGAGAGTCATCCATCTCGTATACTTTCCCCACTCTTAAAGTTCAACTTACAAGTGAGAATTCAAACTTAACAAATTATTAAAATTTACCTTAAAGTTCCCTAAAATTCAAAAATTTAATTTTTAACAGTTATCAATGAAATTGTTAAGTTGTGAGCATGTTAGAATAACAGACTTGACAACTTTTTTTTATATAGGAAATTGAAAACTGCATTGACCACTGTAGTTTTGAAATTCACAACTTTGTTATAACTTATTCACAAATAAGCTTTTGAAATTTATAAGTCATAGACATAAGAAAATCTTGGGACTGCGTTGTAGCACTTCAAAAATTCAGGGCACTTAAAAGTAAACATACTTCTTCCAAGGGACCTAAATGAAATTATCCCTTACTAATATCCCACTATCTTTATTAGTTAAACTACTCCTAAGTAGTTTAATTAATTAAAGTCAAATTTAAGCCGTTTCAGGTATGTTTTTAGCATGACCATCATGTTGCATATTACTGTGATTTTTTAACCTATAATTTTAAAAGTATTTTTAACCAAAATTACAATTATAAAATTATATTTATTTTAAATTATGTACCTATTAAAACAATAATTTATTAAAAATATAAAAATAAAATAGTATCAAATTTGGACGGTTGATATTCTTAGATTGAATAGGTGTGTTAAAGGCGTAGAGGGAAGTGGAGAAGTGATGGGAGGAGAGTCGCCCACTAATCCCAGTCCGTGACCTTTGTCGGACGGTACCACAAGACAAAAGTGTGAGGCGCCCCCCGACACTATCTCGCACGATGGCTTATGTCCATATCCACATTGGCCCCACATAACTTGCTTGGCCCCGCCATCTAATTATTTATTCCCAATATAATATTCACAATTATAATTTTTTTAAGATAAAATTTTATCATTAAAATATTCTCAAAAAAATAATATTACTCCTAAACTATTTATTATAACAATACTATTCTTAAATTAATTAAATTAAAATAGTATTACTCCCATCATTTAAATGTCTGTTATTATAGTTAGTGGAACTCACAAACTATTATCAGATGAGCAATGTTGCTCTCGCTGTTTAAAAATTATAAAATTATAATAATATTAAATGTATAATATAAAAATAAAAGTATAATAATATTAAATGTATATATAAAATAAATATAAAAAATATAAATTATAATTTTATAACTTGTCAAATATAAGTGAATCTTAGTTAAATTAAATATAAGTAGATTCAAAAGTATTTACATTTGCACATATGACTATCAACGTCTTTATAAAAAAAGATCTTAAATCATATTTTATGTATGTGAATTATTCAAAAGTAAAGTTGGCTTTTAGTAGGATCTAATTTTTAAATTTTTTTATTTTTAAAAAAATTTTAAGCTTTTTTCATATTATATTTTTCTAAAAATCACTTCAGTTTTTGACTTAATAGTGGCTTAACTCTTGTCCAATCCAGCTCAATCATGAAATAATTTTTTGGTCCAAATCGAGTCGTTAATAAAACTTCAGTTGATAATTATAGGTACAAATGTAAATAATTTTGAGTATACTCATAGCTAATTTAATCAAGATTCACTTATATTTGATAAGTTATAAAATTATAATTTATAATATTATTAATTTATAACATTTTATTGACACACTATAAATTTTTTTCTTAAATTTATTTTATATATCCATTTAATATAATTATAATTTTATTTTTACTTAATTTTATGATTTTTAAATGATGAGGGTAACACTGCTTCTTTGAGAATAGTTTAGAGATAAAATTACACCTTGACTTATAAAAAGTAGGTCCCACTAGTTACAGTAACAAATATTTAAATAATGGGAGTCTCCAATTTGATTAGTTTATATGTAACATTACTATAATGAATAGTTTAAAAGTAACATTGTTCGTCCAAAAATAATTTAAAAACAAAATTATATTTTAATTCCTCTTTTTTTTTGTTATCATTGAATCACAAGTATGTAATTATTAACAACATCACATTTTGTACGTGACACGCTATTTGAAAATTGAAATGTTTTTTGAGACCTTGACACAACACACAGACAAGTGAACCAATCCCTTGGAATCCACGGTATTTAAGGACGTATATTAAGTATATAGCCCAGTTAGTGTCAAATTTTATAGGGGGGGTCATTTTATTTACTTGAATATATATAATATTTTGAATCAAAAATGGGAAATAAGGGGAGCAAACAATACATTTGGGGCCGGGGGGGGGGAACAGAAGACAAAGGACTCGGTAACATGAGTGAGATCCGCCAACAAGATGATTCAGAAACTGAGCGCAGATCTATGTGGTAGGGTCGGGCAGCATCTGAGGGAGAGTGTTAGCAAGTGTAGCATTTATATATTCAAATATTTGAGATATGCATATGTTTGAATATATACAAACTTGTGAATGCAGCACACAGTGTTGGGGTGCTGGTCTTGTCCCACACTGCATGCCCTCCTGTGTGCCCGATGCAGCACCTTCCTCCTTCCTCATTTCCCCATCAATGGATTCCTTCTCAAGGCCCACAACCTCATATTTAACATCACAACAAAATTAATTAGAATAAATATTTATATAATATATTGATAAAAAAATTACTTTCTCATCAAGAATAAAATAAAATTTCCTCTTGGAGTCCAATTGAGGCCTCTCTCTTTTTTCAAAAGGAAAAGATCAACCTATATTATCAGAAAAAGAAAAATAAGACAAAGTCAACAAGTCAAAGTAATAACAGGAGAGCTAAAAGAGAAACATGAAGAACTGCTGTAATGTTTGTGACCATGATTGATCTTCACAAAAGAACAACTAACAAAATGATTCAAAAGAGAATTGATATCTTGCAACATAATATTGTGGTTTGCTCTATTTTGATTCTCAATTCTAAGCTTGAGCCCTTTGTTAGAATAAATTTTAAGAGAGCAGTGTTGAACCCTAGATCATACAAATGCTTGCTCAAAGTTTCTAATTCAAACTAACAAGCTTTTAATACATGAATTCATGAATAGATTTGGTGGCAGAAAAGCAAATTTTGGAACATCATACTCTGGATTTCTTCTTCATTGAAAATGATATGATTGTGACAGCAAGTTACCCTTTTCCTTTTGAATTTTCATATTTTAATCTCCCACACTAGCATTGAGTTTAAAACCCTTGAGTCAATTGAGACCTCTTGCACATGATGCGTGGACGGGAAGGTCCTCTGGGCATGTCTTTGTTTTCTTGCTACCTGCTTCACCCTCTTTTTTTGGTTTTTTTTTAACACAT